ATCCTCCATACCATACACATATCCCATACGCAAACTTATTCTTATTTTATCGCGCGTGTCTCTGGGCCGTGCAAAACTTTGCCAGTCTGCCATAAAATGCGTGTCGAGAACACAAAATGACACTTAAGCGGTACGAGTCCTGAGCCCCTGACAATATTGAATATGCAGAGGGAGAAGCACCCACACACACTCAATCAGGTATCATTTAGGAGGAACCATCAATCTTGGCATCATTCCCCAACTCTGAATCCGACTTTATCTCGAACGAAGTGCAGACGCTCGCATAGATATTCGCTGGCGGCACAGGAAAATGTATTTGGCTATGTTTGCCATTGTTTGGCCAACAATAACAATCGATGTCACCAGCAGAAGCAGTCGAAAAACAGCCCAAAAGATCCCCAAAAACTAAGCTAAATGCGGCACCACTTGAGAAGAATCCCTCTTTTGTATTGCATACTCTTGGGCGCCGGTGGAAATCGCTATGGAAACAGCATCGCATCATCGCTCATGATAGAAATCATGATGACGAAATGGTATAAGGCATAAGGGATGACAGTTTTAAGAAAAATGAAAGTGTTGTGTGCACACTTTTGTTGCAATGTGTGATGTTCGACAAGCCCATCAATCTGTCAGTTGCATTCAAATTTGTATAGTAGTTCTATCTAACAATCCGCATTGAAATTTAGAAATTTATTTTTTTGTAATTTTTTTTGTAATTTTTTTTTCATGTGATGGTGTATGTAGATATTCAAACAAATTAAGAAATGTCCTAAGCCTGAAGTTCCAAGCTCCATAACTCAACTTATCTTAATCGGATTTTAAAGTGGCATACCTCTAAATGTTTCTGGCGCAATTCTCTAAAAATCTGCAATCAAATTAAAAAAAAAAAATTTTTTAATTTTTTTGTAATTTTTTTGATGCGTCGATGTAGAAATTCAAGAAAGTTAAGAAATGCCCCAAGGCTGAAGTTCTATACTCCATAACTCAACTTATATTAATCGGATTTTGAAGTGGCATACCTTTAAATGTTTCTACCGCAATTCTATATAAAACTGCAATCAAATTCAAAAAAAAATTTTTTTAAAATTTTTTTGTAATTTTTTTGATGCGATGATGTAGAAATTCAAGAAAATTAAAAAATGTCCCAAGGCTGAAGTTCTATACTCCATAACTCAACTTATATTAATCGGATTTTGAAGTGGCATACCTCTAAATGTTTCTGGTGCAATTCTCTAAAAATCTGCATTCAAAGTTGAAAATTTATTTTTTTTCAATTTTTTTGTAAATTTTTTGGTATTATGATGACAAATTCAAACAAATTAAAAAGTGTCCTATTGCTGAAGTTCTATACTCCATAACTCCACTTATCTTAATCGGATTTTGAAGTGGCATACCTCTAAATGTTTCTGGCGCAATTCTCTAAAAATCTGCATTCAAATTTGAAAATTTATTTTTTTTCAATTTTTTTGTAAATTTTTTGGTATTATGATGTACAAATTCAAACAAATTTAAAAGTGTCATATTGCTGAAGTTCTATACTCCATAACTCCACTTATCTTAATCGGATTTTGAAGTGGCATACCTCTAAATGTTTCTGGCGCAATTCTCTAAAAATCTGCATTCAAATTTAGAAATTAATTTTTTGTTGTGTAATTTTTCTGAAGTGTGATGGTGCAATCCATGTATTGAGTGTTTTGCATCGGGGTAGTTAAATGCTTTCCAATTTATTTTTAAGTGTAAAATAACTTGTATAAAACGTTATAAGTTTGTTTAGTTTAGTACTAAGAAATAAGGAGTTATTTTGGCGGAATACAATAACTTTATTTGATTAAAAATATACAAAGGAATAGTGCTTAAATGGGTTGCTCAAAGAGCTTTGTGGACCATAATATTTGCATCTCATTTACGGCGGAGCTCAAGCCGCTCTTGAAAACTTTTGAACCCGGAGTGAATGACACTGGCTCTGGACAATTTAGCATGGGTCACGCCCATGGAAACGTGCAGGACCTTCAGATATTTGTGCGAGCTAAGCCCCCACAAGCATTCGAATTAACCCTTTGAGGTCGCTGGTGGGCATTGACATGGCAGAGCTAGGGGATCGAAATGGACCATCATCCTTTGGGCTCGGCACGCGCTTTTGTGCGAAAATATGCAATTGAAATGTTAAATAAATAAAGGCGTAAATACTTGAAGGGTAAGCCAACAGGGCAACAAGAAGTGTGCACATCCCGGCACTGTTGGATCCGCCAGATACACAAAAGTGCAAATACATAGGGGGAAGCACCACCAGAACACGGAGTACCCAGCCAGCCCGTTATGCATTCCATAACTTTGCAGTCGTCGGCAGACGTTGACGCTGAAACGAATGAATGAAAATATGCAGGCAACGTGATTCCGCCACAGCCCCCAAATGCCACTCCCGCTGCCACTGCCGCTGCCACTGCCACTCCCACCGCCCACCGACCAGCACCCACCGCCCATTCTGCAACCTCGACCTCGACGAGGACGCCATATTGTTTGCGCGCCATTGGGAAACGTTACCGTTAGCCATCGCCATCAGCATCCGTTACCTTCTTCGCAGTTACCTGTTACACTTGAAGAATTGCTTATTAACTTATTGCTTATTAACATTTAGCTTGTCAGGCTCAGTCTTCATGGTAGCACCAGTATATCATTTTCTATGGAGTTTCTGTTTTGGAACCGCGTATAAAAACTTACGAATTTGCTTAGATCTTTTCTACTGGATGTAATCGCTAAGTTGTCTCTGAAATATAAATATTTTCAAACTTATTAAACTAGACTAATTTGTCCAATATTTGTATAGTTTCCTCAAAAAAAATTACTTTCACTTCTCTGAGTGCATTTGGTACCTGCTCGGCAACAGCAAAAGCGATGGCAAAAGCAACATTCGTTTGCTGGTATTTTCTGTCGAGTTCAGCGTAAATTCATTCATTTCCACTTGAATTTACAATTATGCGAAACTGTTGTTGAATGGGTTTTGACTTGGCTGATGCCGAGCTGGGATTGGATTCGAGTGGAGCTGGGTTTTCGGGGTACTTCTGCATTTCCCTTAGTCTATCACGGTCTCTGCATATTTCCTGCTTTTGCCATTGGCAGCGGCATCAGCAGCTTGGCTGTTTAGCTTTTAATAAACTGCGGTCGGAAGGTGAAGTCGATGCGAAATCTGAATGCCAAGCAGCTTCCTGGAAATTGTCAACAGCAGCGGCAAGGAAGCTAGTGAATAGCAAGTTGCCGTGGCAACGTTCAAATCGGCGATCCTGCTCACTGAACTCCTGTTGGTATGTAATTAAGCTCATGACTTTGGGTGTGAAACTGACGGATTTCAGGTGGGAAGCTGTTCAAGCTGAGAAAAATGCTCTCAAAGTTTAATTTTCAGTTTTAATATGTTTGCCCTAAGCAGGGAACTGTTTTTATTTTGGTTTTTTTACTTGTGAACATTATTAATACGAATTTGCGAAAGTTTGTGTTTATTTAAAGGATGGTTCCATAAAGTTCAAATTTATTGTGCTCTGTGCACTAATTCCCACCCTCTTGAAAACCCAGTAAGGAGCCAAATATATTACGAAATACATAAATATTTATTGCGATAAAAGATATATACGCTTAGTTCCCAGATCTCTTCCTAACCCGATAAGTTTGCAACTGGGCTCGAGAGCTCTTATCCCTCGCAAAGTTACTTTTCAGCAACAACTTTTGCAGGCCCGGGCCAAAACCATTTCAGGGCGCAAACTTTCCAGCTGGCAACCAGTGCAATTCAATGTCATATCCTTGAAAAAAGGGGTGCATAAAAAGCGAAGGAAGCCCGATGGCCATAAAAAATCGGCAAACTAAAGTTCTGTTATTGAAAGTTCATCGATGAATGTGAAAGGAAAACATCTGCCTCCAACTGCAACTCCAACGCCCACTCCTTTTTGCCTCCAGCCGGCGATGTCCTGGCTTGTTGGCTGCAAGACTTGCGGCGGCTTACAGCCCATTTCCTTCTGCTATTTTCAACATTTCTAGGTCCTTTTGTGCTCGGCTCTACTAATTTCCTTGGCCATTCCTGACAGTCCAGACACAGACATCCTTCGGCTGCATATCCTGGAGCCTGCTGCTTAGCCAACGTTTGTATGTGGTCGATGCGTTGCCCGGTTGTTTGCATTTTTATTTGTATTTCATTTTCAATTGACTGGCAGCCCGTTGCTCCTACCTCCTACCTCCTACCTGGAAGCTGCCCGGTCGGCTCTTTGTGCATTTCAGCCATTCATCAGAGTTATTTACTTTTTAACGAGTTGATTTCATTCAATTTGTTTGCCCAGGTTTCAGTGGCTATTACCGGAGCTGTCCAGGAAACCCCATGGCCCGAGTCCCAACTTTCCTTTAAGCTGCAACTGAGCTCCATTAAAGTCAGTCACCCAGCCAGCTTCTCCTTCTTAGCGTTCAATCTGTAGACATTCCGATACCATTGAACTTCTCGCGTTGCGCAATTTTGGGGCTCTTGTTTTCCTTTTGGCCCCCTTTTGCCGCCTGCTGCGCGGGCTCCGTCAACTTTTCGGTGCCTTTGGCGATGTTCGGTTTCAATAAATATTTTCACAATGAAGAAATTAAAAATTCCTTGGAATACAATATGTAGCCTGCCCCCAAAAATCGCCGAGAATCCAGCCGGCAGCGTCTATTTATATATGAAAACTTAGTTTGTCTTCGATAACAAAAACATGGGGTTGCAGAGTTTGGGGAATAGCAAAGAGTGTCCCGACCCTGACAATTCGATTGAAATTGTTGCCGACGGCTATGATTTTATGAGTGCTCTGTTTGCCTTTTTGCCGAAGCGGTTCGTAATAATTAAATTGCTGGCATTTCGCAGATGCTTTGGGAATATTTCACAAATTAGCCACCAAAAAGGCTAGCAGGGTCAAAAGGGAAATAGGTACGTAAGTTTTCGGAAAAGATAATATGAATAGATTGTACCTCTTCAAAAATAAAATAAATACTTTTGTTCATTTTGGAACTAATGGTTTTGCTTTAATTTCTACTGCAAGCCTTTATTGCTCTTCTTTTCTACCGATTGGTTGGATTGTTAAGGCCCTAAGTGGATTGCTGGAAGCAGGCCAATATCTTGAAGGCCGTGTCACAGGCATTGGCGCCCTTGATCGCGCTGCACCTGCCCAAGTCCCTTTCGATGAGATCCTTAAAGCTCGTGTTCGCATAGTGAGACTTAATCTTGTCGGTCAGCAGTTTGCCTGTGGAGTCCATGAATCCGCTCTTGACCAGAATGCACTGGGCGGAGCACTTCACATTGTCCTTGGCATCCTCGGCCTTGACCTTGCCCGTTTGCAGGTCGGCAAGATCCTGGGGAGTGACTCCGTTCTCCTTGAGGCAGCCCGTCACCAGGTCCTTGGACACCGAGGTGTCTATGTTGGCTTGTTGCTTTGCAGCATAATTTGTATTCATATTAATATACTTTCGCTGGTACACCGTGTAATAGCCAACTTACTGCCAAAATTCCTGAAAGGCAACCGAGCAATAGAGTCAATGCGAGTGTAGCCCTCATTTTAGTTCACTTTTTCGTTTACTAATCGCTCGCTGAAATTACATCGGTTTTTATAGTTCTGTTGGCACTTTGCGTGACGCTTTGAATTTGTCAATTCTTATTGTCCGCATATTGATTATCACTAAAAGCAGAGACGCATTGGTCACGCTGACTGACTAACTCCAAAAGTTATTGCCACTGTCAAGGTGTCTAACCTAAAGGTCGGAATAATTACTGATAGGAAAGTCTCTTCATTTTTGCTTAAAATGGCAATGCATTCTGAGAAATTCATGCAGTTGGACTGAAAAGGGCACCTGCCATTTAAAATGGTAAGCTTTTAAAACAAATTTCGAAATAGATTTGTGAAGCAATATTCTTTCTAAACCTTACAATTTATAAATATCTACGATAGTTTTCCGTTAATAATTGTTTAAAATATATTGTTTAAATATCGTTTTAATGCATCAGTCCTTCTAGATTTCAATGTAAAGTTTGGACTTGAATGTATTAGGCAATAATTAAGTTAAGGTTCCAAGCTTGGCAGGGCATTAGAATGTCAGGTAACGAAATCGTTTGAATATTTTATAATTACTGCTGATATCTGCTTAATTATGCATAATTTATTGTTCATTTTCGGGTGATTATTATCGGCGTGCATTTGTTTAGAATGCTCAAAGGCTATTAACGTATGGGTCAACTGGACAATTTGCCAATTTGCTCCATTGCAATTTTCGTTGAAAATACCTTGATTAATTTTCATGCTCACCCTAGTGCATATTTTAATTGCAACGAAAGGGATTCACTGTCCCAATGGCAACGGTTAGATAATTCGGATATTTCGTAATTGCATTTGTACGGTTTTATCGTAATTGGCTTTTTTGCACAAGCAGTGCGGCTAATGCTGCTATAATACCTATTAGCACTATGAATATTATTATATATTTCATATTATATTCGCGGGGTGCGGACATTTTCATTTACTTTAATGCGTTTTCAAACGCTAATTGAAATCCTTTTAGAGTAATTGCAAAAAATGTAATAGCTCTCAGCGGGCAAGGAGACGGGTTTAGTTGGCCGGCCGGCTTGCCATCTCACAGTTGGTAATTAGAAGAACAAACTAATTTAGTAAATTACTATTTAGTGGCCCCTTTCGCATGGGCCACTTGGCCACAACATCTGCGGTCCACAAAACGTAGTTTTTGGGCTTTGAAGTTGCGGCCTTTGAATTGCGCCAAAGGACATTCGAACAAATGGCATCCTTTGAGTGTTTGTAGGTGTGTATCCGTGTGTACACGTTGCAATTGCTGTCGAAACATCAAAGCTATGCGAGTTTTCCAGTTGACTTCATCAGTAGATTGTGTGAAGTATGCCAAAAATGTGTTGGGAGCGCTCGACTCGACCCGTTTTACCATTTTCCTCCGCCCGAGCGAGTAGTTCGGCCAACCCGCCTTAAAGTTGCTCTTTAAGCCCCCGGACGGAATGCAGGGCCATTTCTCCGGACTACGGACTCCAGGCACGTGCTGCCAAACCGGAAGGAACACGCGCCCAAGTCCGGACTTCGAAACGCTAACGCGATTGCCCCGGTGAAATCCAGTGCGCATGGTAAAATAATATTGGCCAAGCTTTTAAAATACATTTTACATCTACTTCAGTATAATTGACGCGTGGCCTTTGTGATATCGTCGAGCCAGGGAAATTTGAGATCGAATGCTCATCAAAAAAGTGGTCCGTGGGCAGGCAGGCGATTCAATTAGTTCAACGCCCCAAGGGCATTAGCAATATTGCCAGCGACCGAGGTTCATCTGACACCAAAAGCTGTTGAGCTAATTGAAATTTCGAATTTACAAGAAAATATCCCAGTCTACATATATGAAATTCGGATGTGCGTTATAATAAAATACAATTTATATTCGGCTTAGCCTAATATTAAAATGAAGTGAAAAATAAGAATTACACGAAATGAAAACATGTTTTGCCAGATTCGGCCCCTCTCTACTTGGAAGTTCCATGCCCCTGGAGGGTCGGTGGCTCCATTTCCAGGGCCTACGCAAAAAGTGCGCATTCGAAATAACATAATTCACCTGGCAGGCCCCGTGCTGCCCACCAACTTCACTTTCCCTGAACCAAAGCCACAAATTCCGGCACAGGATAAATATGAAATGCAGCCAGGCATAAGAAGCCAGCACAGACCATTGACAGCCGGAGTGGCAGCCAAATGGGTGGCGTGGGAGTCGGGTTGGTTCCCCGATTTGTCCTGCTGTTTAAAATAGCAAACTAGACCAGGCCCCTAACATGTCCTCCGGCTTAGCGCCCATGTGCTGGTGTGGCCGGCTATTGTCTGACTACGGCTTTACAACTCATAAACAGCAGACGGCCCACTCCTCGCTGGTAATAACAGTTTAAGCTCGGGGCTCTGTCCAAAAATTGTCCACATCTCGTTGTTTAATTTTTTTCTTCGTCCACCCACCCTCTCTGTGGGCTGCTTGATAAGAGGCATTTTTACATGTGCTAAAAAAACAGAGGGACGGCCGTAAGTCGGGGGGCATCTTCGTAGGAATGGATGGAGATGGAGCTGGCCTCGGGCCCATCCCCAATGGGCTCTTCCAATTTTTGGCCTGGCTGCATGTGCGTTTATGACTTCATAATGGCCAGAGATGGGGATCAGCTACAGCAGGAGCGGGAGCGGGAAGCAGGGAGCATCATCTCACCCCAAGGATATGCGCTGCATTGCGGGGTGGTTGCTCCCGCTACCGCTCCTGATCCGGATCCGGATTCCGCCGCTGCTCTGTCTATGGATTTGCGTAGGCGTGGCGTTAACATGCGACTAAGTCCTTTTATATCCCGGAGCATTCGCTTAGGCTTACGGCTCAGGCTCAGTTTTCATCTATCCAACACCAGCTCCAGCTCCAGCTCTAGCCTCAGCCACGGCTACATATCTTGGGTCTTAGACCATCATCAATTGCTGTCCCCATGGTGTAGTTAGGCCCGTGGCCCGAAACCCCGGTCCCGGCTTATATAGGCCAGCAGCAGAATTTAATGCCGACCTCTGGGAGCTATTGCGGCCAGGCCAGGCCAGGACCAATGGCCCAGCAACAGGAGCATCACATCAGGAGCATCCCCGCCATCGTGGCATGCAAGTTTTATGCTCATGTGTGTGCTGCGCCCTGTGTTTTATAAACAATTTTAAATTGCTGGCCCCCGAAAATGAGGGGCTTTTGCTGCTTTGTAGGCAAATTGTTTTATATGTGCGTTGGCTGCTCTGCAGTTTATTGGCCAGGTTCAGATTGACGGGGAGTCTGGGGGCCGCATAACTTTGCATAATCTCAGCGAAACTGAAACTATGTGGCTACACAATGCGCCACATTAACTTGCGGCCCCAGGAGCACTCACACGTTGTAGTGTATTGGGTATAAATCTCAGCAGGAGATGAATAAAATCCCAGATCCAAGATCCAAGATGATGCGGAAAAAATTAGAAATAAGCGCAAAATAATAAACCATTCAGCGCGCCAATGTCTCAAAAATAATATAAATAGCTTAAAAAGAAGGAGAGCAACCCAACACAAACAAAGAGACAAACAAACAGTCGCCGTAGCCGTGGATACGGCAATGCGCCATGTGGCACACATGCTGCACCACTCAACCACTCAGCCACCGAGTCATCCATGCCACCCAAACCACCCATCCCAGCCCCAAATCCGTGCTCCACCTTTGGAGGCACTCGGCAGACCGCATGATTTCATCTTTCGCTTTCGTGCAGACAACTTTCGCGAGGAATCCACGGACCGGGAATGTGGAAATACCCTTTTGTGCAGGGAAAGTGAACTCTAATAGTGCTCATTTTATATAAGATAAATATTACTAATAACTATTAGAGTTCACTCTTGCTTTACAAAGATTAACATTAATTATGTTATGTAAAAGTAAACTATTAGAATTCACTTTCCCTTTACAAAGGGGTAGTTCCACCTTATATGTATGTCTTTTTTAATAAAATGAATATTATAAAAAGAGTCGAAAGATTTCCGAGACATAATATCGATATGCTATGCTTTATAACTAGTTTTTAAGGATAGTGCTCTTCTTCTAGAGTATCCTAGCCTCGTTCTTTGGCCCACTGGGAATTCGAAATTCATTTTTTCATTAAATTCGCCTAAGCAAATGCTAGCCCTGCCATAGAAAAGAGTATGGGAGAGATGATTTATGGAGCAGACTTCATAAAGTTCATAAATGTCGCGGCAAGCAGGCGGTTCGCAAAAAGAGGTGTGTGTGCGTGAGCAAGTGCTAGTGTGTGTGTGTGTGTGTGTGTGTGCGTGTAGTGTAGTGTGTCTGTGTGTTGGTGGGGCAGACACTACAACAACAGAGGCAACATTAGTAACCACATTCATGCATTTGACACTTTCGCCAGCTGAAAAGGGGAATAAACAGGGGAGGGGCGCAGTTTTGCGCATTTAATTAACTAAAATGCTATAAATATGATTTTAAATTAATTTACTTGCGTGAGTTATTAAATTACAAAATGCACGGTGTGGCTAATGAAAAGTAAAGAGTACTGGTGCTTAATGGAGGATGTATTTGGCTATGGGTGGCCGACCTAGATGAAATCTGGCAATGTGCCATCTTGTGTTCCAGATTTCTAGAAACTAGATTTTGGCAAATTTATTTACGCCTTTGATATGTGTACATATTTTCCCATGTCCGATGGTTTGTAATCATTTATTTCCCAATTTTGTGTTGATCTCTCCATTTTCTTCGGCTGCAATTTTATCCGTGTCCCACCTTGTTCCCCCAATTCAATCTCCATCTTTCAGTGTTATGGCAGGACCAAAAGAGAAGAAAGCTAGCAACCATCAGAAACTAATTTCGTGTTGCCCAGGGACCCTGGCACCTTACACACTTTCGAATGTCCTTGCGCCCAGACGAAACCGATGGCGGAAAGCTGCCAACCGCATTTGAGCCGCCGTCGGGCTTTTCGGAGGGTATTAAATTGTCTGGTCGCATATCGCGGCGTAGTCAAATTTCCGCCGTGCAGCCAAACGCTCCCA